AATAGTCAAAGAGTTTTTGTTTTCATTTTACAAAAATAAAATCATACTTAATATAATGTTCTGCAACTTACTTTTTCTCAAGCAATCTTAGATTATATCTTTTCATATATCTCATAAGATATAATGCTATGTAAATATATATGGATTTTACATTCCTTTAATTACTGCATAGTATCCAGCCTATATATATTCTAATTTAATTATAGTATCATCAGTTGAGAATTTAGACTCAATACAATTTTAAATATCATAAGCAATGTTACAGTGTCTAATTTTGCACATACTTATCTTTGTATACTAGTGCTAATCTTTCAGTAGCACATAGCCCTAAAAAGTAGATTTAATGATAGAAACTTTCTAAATTTGTATAACTACTGACAAATTTCCCAGCAAAATGAATGCACCAATTTGTGTTACCAACTCTATATAAAGGGCAATTATATCACAAGTAAATTTTAATTCAGATTTTAGGGAATTAGAAGGAATTCTATCAAGAAATAGAAAGTGTATGTATTATGTAAATTTAATCAAGTGATATCTCTTTTAATATCCTAAAAGTTTGCCTACAGGATATTTTTTCCTAAGTAATTTTGATCATTGTGTTCATGACAACTATATAACTTTCAATTTGGTATCAAGTATATTTAAAAGAGAGCTGGAAAATGCTTATAACTAATGTATAACAATATAATTTATCATTTATCATATGGCATAATGACAAAGAAAAGCAATATACAATACTAGTTAATAACTTGGAATCTAGAATCAGGCCAATTCAATCATTTATTCAGAAAATATTTATTGAGCATCTACTGTGTGGCAGGCTCAATTCTTGGTGTTGGGCTATATGGATGAACATGACAAAGAAGACCCATCTGCTCTCATGCAATTTACATTAGAGTCATAGAGATAAAAATAAATGGATTCAACAGAACCATTTCAAAAGGGATAACCAGAGTATTGTGAGAGATTATTGGGAAGGGAGGGAAGGGATCCTTCAGATCTGTATCAGGCAAGGTCTCTCAGAGGAGGGAACATATGGGAATAGGCCTAAATGACAAGAATGAGCAACCAGGGAAGATCTGGAGCAGAGAAAGAGAAAAGTTCCTAATGCAGAAACAAGTTCAGAACATGGAAAGAAGGTGAGCTGGGCTAGACTGTGGCTCACAGGGTTACAGGAGAGGCCAGAGTGAGGCAATAAGGTCTGGCTTTTTCTATTCTAAGTCACTAGACTATCTTAAGCAGGAGACTGGCACAATCTACTTTATACTTTATGAGACAATTTTGGCTAATATACTGTTCACCACTTATTAACCATAGGTCCTTGGACAAGCTACATTACCTTTCTTAGCTTCACTTTCCTCATTGATAAAGCTGAGATAATAGTATCTGTTACATGGAGTTGATATGAGGATTAAATGAGGTAATGAATGGAAAGTATTTTGCATACTGCCTGGTACATAATAATGGCTTACTAAACGTTTTCAACTACATCACTATTACATCATTAATACCACATTGAACAAGGGGCCTCCCTGGTGGTGCAAGGGGTTAAGATGCAACCTATGAAGCTATCTGTAGCCACTGCAGCATGAGTTCTATCCCCAGCCAGGGAGCTACCCACATGATGCAATAGACCTCTCCTGACTATCCCACTGCTCCCCTCAGCAGTGTATTTCAGTCAGTCTGCCTGTTCTGTTCCCCACTCTGTCTCTGGTGAATCCTCTCACCCCCCACACCTCTGGCCTTGTATGCATATATAAATAAATCTTTAAAAAAAAAAAACACATAAACAAAACCGCATAAACAAAACCACATAAGCAAAACCACATAAGCAAAACCACATAAACAAAAAAGCATAATTCCTTCTCCTAACTATGCAGCATAACTAAAAATAGACTCTAAAATGAGTCCTGATTCAAATTCCACATTAAATCAACACTCTGCACCTTCCTCTCACCTGATCCTATAATACATTCCTGAGCTGTGTATGTACATGTGCACACACTGGGGATTGATTAGTGAATGGATAGACTTGCAGATATATGGAGGATAATAATCATTTTGTCCAGAGGGGTCAAAAGAAAACAAAGGCATTTCAAACTGGAATGTTTAAAAGAATATAGTTTTTAAATGATGAGTATATGCAATGTATACCTGATCATTTCTCAGCATATTGATCATTCTATTCATGCATTTACATAGTGTCAGGCACCAGGATGAAATCCAAACAGGAGACAGGATCTTACTGGAAGGACTTAGTGCCTTCTAATCTTGCTTCACCTCTACTGAAATTATTTAGCAACACTCTGAGAAACACAAAAGAAGTACTTCTCCTATTTATTAAGGTACTGAATAAAGAATTATAAGTAACAGAACCAAAACTCTGCAACCTGCTGTACTTATCCTTGCATTTCTCAAGCACTTGGATCTATCCCTGAGTGTGACATATCATATAGAGAAGGTTTATGGGTAAAATTTGACTTCTAGGCTGGCTTTAAAACAGAGATCCATAGTAGTTCTAGAAACACTTGTTATGTGATCTTGCATCTAAATATGCAAATTGTGAAATGCATTAAAAAATTACTGTATGCCCAAATATAGAAGATCATAGAAATTACAGAAGCTGTCAATTTAATTAAATAAAATTAATAAAAGAACAATATAGGAAAAGAAAATAACATCCTTTAGTAGAGACTGCTCTGTGATTTACAAAGTACTATGCAGTGCCTTATTTTGATCTTCACAACTATCTTAAGAAAACATGACGGATTTTATCTGCATTTTATGGACATAAGTACTGACACACTGAGTAGTCTCTAAGTAAGTGGCAAAATTGGAACTCTAACTCAGGCCTTCATAGAGTATTTTCTGCCACCTCAAACAAATTGAACTTGCCACAAATAGTGCAATTTGCTAGAAGTGAATTTGTATTTAAAAAGATAAATTAAGTTGCATGTTATTAAAATTCTTTCTGGAATATTATAAATTCTTTCAAGCAGAACAATAACCTCTCTATATGAGCTTATTTTTCCCTGGTCATTACATTAATATCTGTCATCTAGCTGCAAATGATGATGGTGATGATGATGATGATGATGATAAAGCAGCTTTCATGTCTTGAATTCATGTGACAGACTCTATTCTAGAGTCTCCACATTCAACTTCAACTCTTACAGTCCTAGGCAGTGGGTATTAATACCATCATATCATATTAATGGGAAAAAACTGAGGCAAAAAGAGGCAGAGTAACTGATCCATGATCTTAGTTAGTAATGTGATCCAGAGACTCATAACTACAAAATTAGATTGTTTTTTGAAATACAAGCCTTTTTATCCCATTCCGATTTCTCTTCATTAGATTCAACTGATGATAAGGGTAAAATCTCTAACTGAGGCTAACAATCCAAACTCTTCCCATGGATATCAAAGCAACAATGACCTGGTCAAGCACTGACTTCACTTCATCTCCAAAGTGCTCAGAATCTGGCACAATGTATACAGGTGACAATTACTGAGAGTCTGCTATGTCTGATGTTATGCCTTTCTATGTATATGTACCTCGTAAACATTAACGTTGTTCTCTTTTTCTCTTAATGGATAGCTTGTTCTAAAGCTGTTTCTTTAGAAATTTAGCTGAATATGGAAAAATTTTCTTCTCAAAAAATCAAGGGCTACTACATCGGTGGACATAAGTCTGTTGCAAATGGGTTATAGGGGATTACTACTGCTCTGGTCCTTCATTTAACCCAGATGCATACAAGATAGTATGAAAGGTAGCTATCGAAACTGAGGCCGTAAACCTGACCCCACCTATAAATGCTTCCTTTCCAGGAAAAGTAAAACTTAAAGGATAAATAACTTTAAAATTCACGTACACACACACACACACACACACACACACAGGAACATACATATATTCATGAATATATATATTCCAAGGAGAGTCTGTATGTTATAAATAAGTTCTCTCCTGAGCCCCTTTAAATATTATTCTTTCTTGATATTTTCGAAAGAAAAATAATTTATAAAAAAAACTTATTCACACATAACTTTTCAGAAATTCACATATTAATCAAAACAAAGTATTTCAGCCCCTAAACTAAATGAAGAGTTCCAGATTCCCTTGGTAAAAGTACAGGTTGGAGAAATTTGATTTCAAATAATGCTAACCCATTCATTCATTCTACAAGAACTGTACGAGGTCTATCTTGCATACTTTGTATTAGATGTAATAGATACAAAAATGAAGAAGTAAAGTAATCTCCCTTCTATGCACCTCATGGTCTACTAAGCAAAACAGATGCAGGAAGCAGCCATTCTCTAAGATAAATTAATGACTAGAACTTGTTACAAGGGATTCAAATGACATTAAATACTGTGGTATTTAATTGTGGCTTGGAAAAGGCTACATCTTTTAAAAGATAGATATGATGGATGGATGGATGGATGGATGGATGGATCATTGATTGATAGATAGATAGATAGAGAGATAGAGAGATAGATAGAGAGATACAGACAGAAAGGAAGCAAGTTCCTTTATGAAGGTAAATATATTCAGTATCAGTGGATCTTAGAGAAAAACTGGATGATGATCGAGGATGTCTATTAAGTCTAGTAAATTATCCAAATAGAACCATATCTTTCTTCCCTAATGTTCTTCAAACTCCTAGTTGATTAATAAATTACATCTAAACAACAGAGATGTAGAACTACTTATGGTAATAGAGGGGAATAGGTGGAAAGTAGTAAATAAACAACTCTGTCAGAGATCTGGGCTTCATTGCACATTCCACAGTCTATATAAATGACATTGATTTTCAGATTATCTGCACTTTTGTATTACTCAAACCTCCTTTGCCTTCTATTAGGAACGGACCTGAATTGTCTGTGCATTTGCTTGATTCCACTGAGAGGTCTGATTCACCACTTGAGATATCAATCATTCCTTTAAGATCAGTCTCTACTAAAAGGCTGCAGTGAAATGATAATGCACTAACCTGTCTCCAGTTAATGGCAAAATAATGTTTGCTTGAGAAGAAAACACAATGAAAGATAATCTCATTTGAGGGCTGCAAAACAAGAAAAGAGGCAGTTAAAACATTTTTAGAAGAAATATTGATATAATACAGATGTATAGCAACAGAGTTTCATTTAAAATTGGTCTCACTGAAACCAATTGGTCTCTCAGGCTTCTTTTAAATAGTACTCCTAAGCAGGTACACTAACTCTGTTTACATTATTGCATGAGCCATTTTGGATTTAGTCAGTGTTTCTCTGCCCTTAAGCACTCCTCCATGCCCACAGGGCCTTAAACTTAGGAAGAGACTCACTAGAAAGATAAATTCTAGGTGACTGTAAAATGCTTTTGTAGCGAACACTTCTTTTCTGGTGTTCCAACATCCTGAGCAGTATTTAGGGCTAGAGAATAGTCAACTTGGTTAATTATGACAGCCATGATATGTGTCCATACAAAGTCATCCTGAGGTAAGAATACCTTAAGAGTGTCATGGATTGTGTAACAGAACCTAACAAATTACGATTTGGCTAGGCATGTTCAACTTTCCAAGTCTCAAACATCACACTCAAGCATATTTCCATACTGACAACAACTGTGCCAGTTAGCGACATGCTTGAAGCATTAGGTGTTTACCTCACAGGGTGGCCTTAGGTTCTATGGCACTCACTGTGAAACTATTACTAGATCTAAAAGTGAAGATGTGAAACTAAGATCTATAAACTGAAGATCACAATGATCTCAAAGACATATACATATTTTAAAAGCTCTTCTCTTTAGTAGTCACCCATTATTCACTTCCTAAAATGCACCATTAGTCACTGAGCAACAAAACTACAGGCAGGGAACAGTCTTACAGATGTTAAGTTAAGGTAAAAGAAAGAAGTAAGAGCCCCACTTCCTGAAAATGCTGGCTTGAAATGATTCATTTCTTTTGATCAAAATCAATGTAGTATTCTCAGAACACTGATAGATTATATCAGTCTCTTTAGCCTTTGACATTTAAGGATACAGGGCTTTGTTGTTTTTTTTCTTTCCTAGACAGTTTTAACTCAGACCCTGTCCAGAAATGACAGTGTCATACTTGGCTTCTTAAGCAGGAGCCTGATGATTGAACATGGACAAGCATACATTTTTATAGGGATAAGTTTTACTGCTGCCAATAACTGTAAGCAAGGATTGCCTAGGCCTCTACAGATTGTTTGAAGTTACTTGCAACATGACTTTCAAAATGTTTTGATCATCCAAGCCTGTTTTGCAGAAAACATTTGGGCTAACAAGACTGAAAGAAGCAATATTTAATGATACAGCTCCTTTTTGTGTCCTTTCCATTATCTTGATAAACTTGCATTTGCTCATTGCATTTTTCTCTTAAAAAAAAAAAAAAGGAGAAAAAAAAAGGCTCAAAAGTCTGGTGTCCTGCGGTTATTTTTACATAGGAAAGGCTACTAATTCCTAGTTACCTCTAAATAACAGAGCAAGCTGGATTTCATAGCAGTTATGCTTTTTATAGGAGAGGAAACCAGTCTTTGCTAGTAAGCCTTATTTCATATATAGAACAGTTAAATTTTAAACCAGCCACACACCCACACATTGTGTAAACACAAGTCGTTTCTTTAAACACACAAACAAGTGCCTTTTCTGGTAGTGGGTTATTAACACATGTTCAGTTGAAGTTTACCAACACTTTTTATTTTTTTTTTAATGAGGACCTCTACAATGCTAAGAATTGTGTGGAAAGGAAACTATGTTATGGATACTATTAGCATAAATATTTTAACGTGATAAATTATGAGAAAGCATACTGAAATTCAGAACAGAAGAAAAAACAGAAAGGAAAAGACTTTTGGAATAATATTTGAAGATGCTTCCCCAGAGCCTGAGCCAAGATTCTGGGAGCCAGATGAAATAAGCCCTCTCCACTCAAGGGTTATCCTACTAGCAGTATTTGTGTACTACAGAACTTGAGGCACTTAAAAATCAAAATTTCAGTAAAGGTTTTCCCATTAGAAAGGTTTCCAAAAAAAGGAAGTCCATTAGAAAGGTTTCCAAAAAAAGGAAGTCCTTATAATTCTACTTCCTCCATCTCAAACTCCCCTGTGTAGAAAAATAAAGCAGGAGAATTACCTTACAAATCTCTCTGTAAGTTTCTGGACAAAATCATAAATTTCAATCCAGTTATTTGCCACGCTCCCAGACCTGAGAAATCAAATTCAATTGATTAGTAAAACAAAATATTTCCCTGAGTAAACTTCAAGCACAGTAACAGGTATCAGTAGCTGAAACTTAGGTACCAAAATCAAAAAGTGAGCCCACCTTAGGTGACCACCTGTCTGCAAATTGTTTGGAGTGGGACCCTGGCTCTTCAAAATAAACACAGCCTTGTTTCACAGGAAATGCAAACTACACTGGGTATGTTAACACTAGGTTTTTCCTGGCTACAATGAAAGTGCTGTGATTAGGCTCAAAACAGGCAAACTTCTGCCAACCTGAAGAGGCTGAGGGCAGAGGTGTCCAGGAGTTGTATCTGGGTTTCAGGGATGCAAAGAAACTAAACTACCATAAGCAGCAGCACTGCGATTTCCCAAGGGGTCCGTAGACTGGCAAGCACGGACCCCATCCCGCTCAGAGAAACACGCTGCTAGGTACCCCTCCAATCATCATCCCCCAACCTCCACAGATCAGAAAGCATTTGCCCTGCAGAAGGAGATAGCAACAGGACACCCATCACACCCACCATCAGGTTTCTAACCCCCTTCCCCAGGGTGAACCCACATCCTCAGCTTCTCCAGCCACAGCTCATCCACTGCCGCCCCCACCAGAAGACCCTGGACCTCCCTCTGCACTCACTTGTCCAAGACGAAGTAGAGATCAAAGGCTCCTCTGCAGGAGGGCTGCTCCTCGGCGCTCACCAGACCTCCAGAGCCGCTCAGCGCCAGGAGCCACAGCCCGGGGACCAGCCAGCTCCCGGGACTGCGGGCCAGGGTCAGCCCCGCCACCATCCTGTGGCCAGGGGCCTGGGACTCCCTCCTGCTCGCAGCCCCCTCGGCTCGAGTCAGAGGGTGCACTTAGGTGGTCAGTGTCACCAGGGACGCACCCTGGGGTGGGAGCAGCAAGCAGCAGCGCGCCGGCGCCTGGGGCAGCTGGCCCCAAGAACTGACAGGGAGGGAGGGACGGAGGAAGGGAGGTCCTAGCAGGACAAAGGGACTCTCAGCTGCCGCCGGAGCTGCCGCCGGAACTCTTGACGAATCCCCTTGGAAGCGCGACCCGGTCTTCCCCCTCCGGATTCCGGAGAGTTCCTGCAACACGGAGCGCCCGGGGCGAGAGTTGGCCACACAAGTTTCTCCCGGGCCTGCAACTGAGCTTCTAGCGCGAGCTCCAAAGCCGGCCCGAGAGTCCCATTCCGCCCGGAGGGCTGAGACCCGCCGCGCCGCGCGCCGCGACGCCGCAGGGCGTGGAGCCCCCGCTTGTGGCCCCTTCCTGGGCCGCCCAACTGCCCCCGGCGCTCCAAACTTTCTTGCTGGTGCCCAGTTCAGGCGTGAGCAGCGGGACTGCACCCTTTGGCGAAGAAAGCTGAGCAGACTCTGGGGCTGCAGGCTCAAAAAAGAAAAACACTCCACCCTAAGCCAAGAGCGAGATCTGGCGGGGCTTTCTGAGAGTCCCTGGGCGCCGCGGGGCGGGGCCTGATAGTGGCTGAGCCACCACGCACACTTGTGGGCTCCTGCGAGCAGAAGTGGACCAGGGCCTGGACAGATTTTGAAAGAGAGGGAGTTTAAAGAAACAAATGTGCTCTACAAAATAAACATACCCATCTATCCCGCAGGCCTGACCAGTTTAAGCAGTTGTACAAGACTAGCCCTCTGTGTGGTTGGGAGGCCAAAGGGGCAATTCCAAAGAGGTGCTGGCGGCTGCACTACGCCCCACCCTCACTATGAGCAGCACACACAACTTTACTAGCTGTCTGGCCTAGAAGAAGTTGCCAACTTTAAAGTTGCCTTCTTTAGGCAACTTCCTCCTTTTTACTTTTTTTTTTTAAGGTTTATTTATTTATGCATACAAGAACTGGGGTACAGGCCGAGGTGTGGGGGGTGAGAGGATTCACAAGAGACAGAGTGAGGAACAGAACAGGCAAGCTGACTGAAATACACTGCTGAGGGGAGCAGCGGGTGAGATAGGAGAGGTCTGCTGCGCCATGTGGGTGGCTTCCTGTCCCCGCCAGGTTGGAACTCATGCTGCAGAGGCTGCAGATAGCTTCACAGTGCTGTGCTTAACCCCTTATGCCATCAGGGAGGCCCCTCTTCTTAAATATTGTTAAAAATGAACAATGACCTAAAAATTTTTTTTAAATTAATATAAAAAAAACCTGCCTCCTTTCATCTAGAAAGCCTAGAAATGGGAGAACGGGAAGTGAAGGTCAGATCGCTTTGGCAGTGGAAAGTTGTACCTCAAAATATTTCATCCCACTGTCATTCACCCTGAGCTTCAGATGTTAGGAATTTCATCTTGAGGCAAGCTAGGCTGCCCTGTGCAGAAGCTAAAGTTTGCCTGCATGCAAATTCTCTACATACCTGTTCTGCACTCCTTTCCTCTTCTCTACTCCCGCCAACAGCTTCATCCTTGTCAAAATGAACATTTAGGATTTACAACCTCATTGTTACACATACCAGTAATTAAGGGTAATGTGAGTTGTGATCTCCTTTTCATTTTAAGTAAAACGATGCTTTATGGTAAAAGTTCATCTAGTACTTCATTACATATCACTTTATAGTATCTCTTCCGTTATTTGGCATGCATATTAAACTTTTTATTTGCAATCTTCCATATACAAACAGATTTGTAAACTCTTTGAGGATAGAGACCAGTGACTTTAAGAGGTTTATTGAGTTCCTACTAGTTCCTAATAGTGTTGCACACTATTTTGGGATAATGCACATAGCAAGATGACAAGTTCATTTTCATGCAGCTTGAAGTCTGATTGAGGAGGAAAAATAAATAACTACATGTTAATTTCAGAAGGTTTGCAGAAATTCAAAATGTTTAATATGATAAAGAATGACTGACTCGGTGATTACAAAAAGAAGCCTATCATTCCAAGACCTAGAGAGGAAAACTTTCCTTGCTACAACTCTTCACAGGCATTAGCTTAACATACTTAAGAAAAAGAAAGAAAAACAGTGTTACTGAGGCTCTATGGATAAAATGAAGTAAGAGAGTTCAGCTAAAGCCAGATTATATGATTGTTTTGTGCACTGTGATAAAGAATTAAGATAATGGTTGATTGAATAGAAGATAATATGTATTCTTGTTAGAAACACAAACCTTCCATTCTTTTCAAGCAGGAAAATCCAAGGAGGGGGATTGTAGGAAAGTCCAAGGAGAGGGATGGCTGCATTATAAGTGCTACAATCTCTTGGTCTCATATCTTCTTGAGGTTCTGAAATTCTGATTCTTCTGACACCATCAGGCCTCCCCTTATATGCTGCCACATCTCATTTCACATTCAGGCCCAACCATGGATATCCTTGACTTTCCATCACAGAACTGAAACAGGCTGAAATTTTCAAGAAACTTGTTTGACACAATTTTTTTCAAGGTTTTTATTATTTGCTATTAGTTAAAATTGGACTCCATTTTTCACTTCAGCTCTAATCAAGACAGAATCAAATACAACATACCTTTAGCAATAAGGGTAGCAATAAATTGCTAAAGTAAAACATATGACTGAATAAAATCTATGGGGAAAAAAATCACTCAAAATGTAGTGACAACTAGTTTCAAGTAAGTAGAGGATATAAGATGTAGAACTATGAGATACAGTGGTAAATATGTACTCTATAATAAATAATTTTAATCTCATACATATTGGCTTTCTTTACTCCTAATTTATTGACTCCTTGACTGCTCATTTGCTAGGACTCCACAAACTGGTCTAAGAATCCACCTTGTCTGAGGCCCAAACTGAAGCAAAATTACCTTAAACTTAAAATTTCAAAATTCCCCAGCTCTTGCCATGTCTTCCTATTCATTCTTTCTTGATTATAAGAGCAGCAGAGGTGACTGACACACAAAATCATGTTTCTAGTCTTTTGTTTGTTTGGGTAATTCAATCGGCTCAGCTCTGGAAGTTTTTTTCATTTTACATTTCATGTACTTGTCCATCTAAGATCTATGGCAATATAGGTCATTAATTCCCAGAGCAACCAACTGTCCCTGGTCTGAGAGGGGCCCAGAGACACAGGACTTTTGGTGCTAGAAGTAGGCAGTCCCTAGGAGGTCACTTGCAATGGAAGCTGTTGGTCATCCTATTTCCAAGCAGTAATAAAGGAAAATGAAAGCAAAGACAGATATGGGAATCTCATCAAGTCATGAAAGAGGTACAATAACAATAGCAAGCAACACTATCTCCCCACCAGTGTTAGGTGAGAGAAATTTGACATTGCATCAGCTAGAAATTAGCAAGACTTGCTGGGATGCATCTTAACCTTCATATTTATATGAAGAATGGAATAGGGAATGCAGATATTTAAGCAGAGAAAGAGGAGGGAGTTCAGGTTGAATCATTCAGATAAATAAATCTATAATATTTCTATAATATTCTATCAATTATCTGGATTTCTGCTGAAGTATTTTACTTCACATTAATCCAAGCCCTTATCTTTTAAAATCATTCTTTGTTTTAAAGTACACTTCCCATTCAATGTTAAAATGTATATTTTTTTTGTAGAATATATGGTAATAAATCCAAAAACATTTTAAAGTCAGTTAAATGCAGTTAGAATGGCTTGAGACTGGCATACCCAGTGATTAAGAATGTTCACTAGGCCTCTCCTACCTGCAGAGTTCCTAGGGGCACATGTTCAATTTTATTTAAGTATTTATTTTTTACTTAACAAATATTTATTGAGATCTATTATGTATGTAGCAAATTTCTAAGCACAGATATTATACTCCCTGTTCTCAAGAAGGAGATATCCAATTTCTAATTTATTTTTCTCTCCTCCTATCCTTGTGAACAATAAGTAGAAGGAACAAATACATCACAATAATAAACAGAGGAAAACAAAATGAAATCAATATATTCATTACATGCAGAGAAATCATATAATCTATGTTACTTATAAGTAAATATCTTTGTATGACACCCACAGAGACAAACCTTAACCACACCATGAGTGATTCACAGTCACATTACATATGGAGTGATTCATGATATGTATGTCCAGTGATTCACAGGAAGAAATCAACTTTTGGTAATAAAGCTTGTTTAAACTTTTACCAAGGTTATCTAGCTGTAGTTAAACAACTAAATTTCCCCAATGTCTGAATAGTTCCTGAGTGAAAGAAATACTTTTGGAAAACACAATCACCTCTAAATTAAGATCCCTATGTATGACAAGAGAAGATGTCAATTGATAACAGTGACTGATGATCACCATCTGCATTGGGAATTGGATGCATTTTACATCTAGTTTCCCAGAAAAAGACTCAGGCTCTGAGATTTGCATAGAGAAGGTATACTGGGGCACACTCTCGGGAGCAAAACCCATGTGGAAGGGGTTAGGAAAAGAACAATGAGAGGGAGAGTTGAGCCATGAGAGGCTCAAAAGAGGCCTCAGCTGCCTATGGTTGTAGCACTGGAGTTGAAAGGGTCTTCCATGGTTGCCCTGAGTGAAGCAAGGTAATGGAGCCAAGGTTTGTGTTCCCTCATGTAGGCTGGGCCTTTAGAGAAGCATAACCTTGGACAAGGTAGTTTTCTTTTCACTTAGGCAATTGTAAGGAGGAAGTCAGCTGTGAGCACTCAGCAGACAAACTCCTGACTGCAGGGAATGGGTGCCTCTGACCTAGAGAAATATCTATATGATGCATTCAGAACATTACCCAAAAGCCAAGACTCCTAAGAACTGCTCTGATGAAAGTCTTATCTCTTATGCAATGTCAGACCTTTACAAACTAGCTCAGGCCCATATAGAGATCCTGGAAGACAAAATCATGTGCCTGCATCCCTTCCTCTCATGTCCTCTGTCACAGAACTGTTCCAGATCCATTTCTCAGTTCTCAGTGGGATTATTCCAATAGAATTCTGTCTTCCCATATCTCCTACACACTCCGATGTTATTTACTTTTCTGAAGTATAAAACCAATCCTATTTACTCATTGACCTAAAAACTGCTGATGAGGTATCATTTCCTAACAATTGAATGCCCTTCACAATAACATCACAAAAAGCTCTATATCCTCAGCTCTAACAAGTTAAGTTTTCTCATGCTCTCCATATTCCAGAGAAATCATGATAATTGCTGTTTCCCTCATACACATCTTTGGGTCTTATCTCATTATGTACCCATTTCCCTTACACCGTACTCCAAGTCAAATTCTAGCTCCTCTTGCTCTCCCTTCCA